CATATATTAATCAAATATGTATTTCAGATGACTAAAGGGAGGGGGGGGGGGGGGTTGTGAAAATATCAGCATTGCCAATTTTAATGCTTTCCATCAGTATTCAGTGCCTTGTATTTCTACCAAAGTTTCTATAGTTGGTTATTTCCACAAGTATTTGAATAACTGTAGGTTTTTTCAAATACTAAGGCTGAAAGTTTCCAATAGTATACTCCTCTTTGAGTCTGAAATGTATGTCATGCCTTTGTTTCTAGTTCTGTGTTCACCCTTTATTTTCCTTTGGAACAGTTATCAAGTGAATATGCCATGTGCCAAAGATAGGACTTTGTTTTTCAATCTTTTGATAGAAGCTGCTATGTCGATATTGTTGGAGGGAATCAACAAGAAAACACAGGATACAGGAGGCCTCCCTGAACTTCCCAAGGCACCAAAATTGGCTAGTGGACCAAAAGTATCTGAGCTAAAAGCAAAGGTGGAAGCTGAGCAACATGCTCTTCGCAGGTTGCGAATGTGCCTTAGAGATGTTTGCAACCGGTATGTCGACCTATGTTTGACGTACAGTTGTTGGTTTCATTTGGCTCATTGATGTCTTTAATTAATTGTATGCATCCTCTTGCTGAATATATATTTCTTGTACATATTACAGGGTACTGTATGACAAACGATTTAATGCCTTCCATTATCCAGTATCAGACGAAGATGCACCAAACTATCGCTCAATTATACAGAACCCAATGGACATGGCTACCATCCTTCAGCATGTTGATAATGGCGACTATATTACATGTGCTGCATTCATGCAGGACATTAATCTTATTGTTTCCAATGCAAAGGTATCTTGTGCCTTTAAGTTATTTTTTGGTTGGGCTTTATATATATATATATATATTGAAAATGTTAAAAATGCTTCATAAAATAATATTCAAACTAGCATGTCCCATGTTTGACCCTTTTTTCTGCAACTCAGGCTTACAATGGAGAGGACTATAATGGAGCTAGGATTGTCAGTAGAGCTTGTGAGCTCCGTGATGCGGTGCATGGACCTTCTTGTCTTAAGTTTTACATTAGAGTTTATGATGTCGACTGCTGTCTAGCAAATGGTACACCTTGTCTTACGCTTTTTTTACTTACTTTTTACAGGTGCATGGGATGCTCTCACAGATGGATCCAGCACTGGTTGCTTATTGTGACAAGATTGCTAGCCAAGGTGGCCCAGTTCAGTTGTCTGATGAATTAGGGGATTCAACATTCCCTGCTACTCCTGTTGTGCAGCTGGGTGCTGGTACTAGGATGAGTGCTCGGCTTCGTCATGTCCAACCAGAGGTTAATATGGACCAGAGTTATGAAGTATTGAAGCGAACTAAGAAAATTGCTGAAGCGCATGCAGGTATGAAGTTGAATGTCTTTGCAGTATAAATTCTCTCTGTAAAATTGCTGTAGTGCAAATGGATTCCTTAAATGTCATTCATACATACTATTACTATTGTTTCTGTTTTGCTATTATGATTCACGGCAGTGTGAATATTCTCAAGCTATCCTAATTAAGACGAGCAATAACGGAACATGCAAGTGTTAATATTTTAACCCGAGCTGTTATTTTGGTCGCAACTCATATAAGCATGGGTGAGGCATGATAGTCGTGAGTAGGGAGGCAACTTCAAATATTGTCGATTCTCTAATTATTAACTTGTTCACTTCTTTCTTTTTACCTGTAAACTTGCTGTTCATTTGCTGATTTTAAAACTTTATTCAAAATTTGGTTTTATAGCAGAAGACAAGTCACAAGAAGATTCCGTACCGGAAAAGTCTCCCCAGGAGAATCTGGCAAATCACACAAATTCTGAAGGGCCGGAACCTGTGTTAATTGAAGGAAATTTGGGTGGAACTTGTATAAATAGCCCTGCTGATGGCAACAGTTCTGATGATGTCACAATGCTAGATGGTGAATTTACAAGAGAAGTGGAGTCTGTCAAGCAGCTTTATGTGAAGCGTAGTGAAAATTATAGCATTCCACAACTTGAAAGGCTTTACACAAGAATTATGAAGGGCGTGTTTGAAACCAAAAATAAAGGAGTGAATGGGGATCTTAAGTCTTCGGTTTTGAAGTTTTTGTTGAATTTTGTAGAGGATGATGCAAATTTTTAACTACTGGGTTTTTCCCTCTCCCTCTGATTTAGGAAAAGTAAAGATTTTTACTGTAAAGTCGGGATTTTTTAATTCCAATGTCATTTGATTGAGTACAAGACTTCCTTTCACCCCCTTCCCCCGAGTCACAATTGTCCAAAGCGATGTATAGTAGTAATAGTAATAGTAGAGTGTAACCATTAATTCTCAAAGATTGTAATCATAGGATCCTAGGATTAGATGTCTATGCCAACTGCATGGTCCAACCTGACAGTCAGAGGGATAAAACATTTTTTAAAATTGCTTTGCACCACTAGCAACTATAACAAGATTATTTTATGTTCACTGGCATATCACTTTTTTTAACGTTAATGGACAGATAATATTTTCGAAGAATAATTATAACCATCGTGATGGATGCACTGATAGTCATGCATATTCTTGTGCCGTATGTGCCGAATTCAAATTCACGAAAACATAACTTATGAAAAAACATGTCAATATGTTAAAATCCTCATTTTCTTTTATTTTTAATTGTTTATTTATTTTTGCTCTAGGATTGAATGAAGCTGCGATGAGATTAAGGAGGAATTCAAGCGCTCACCATATGCAAGGTGTGTTTGAGGTCGGTGGTTGTGTTGGGCCCAGATAGAGTAATATAACCAAATGTGGGCCATGTCATGTTAATGGCTGGGCTTCTATTATTGGCCTTTATTATTCTACTTATATTATTTCTCTTGGTGAATTGTGATTGTGTTGTTTGTTTCTATGAAGCATGTGTTCAGAGAAGCTTCCTAAACAGGTGCTATCATGCTTTTCATTCCGTTCCTTTCTCGCCTTTATTTCTTCTTCACCTCATTAATTTTGTTTCTTGCTCCTTTTCTCTTTTGTTTGCACTTATAATCTTCCTTATTATTTAAACTTTTAATTATCCTAAATATATTCAACTACTCATTCCCACCCTATCATGATGACACTCTAGATCTTTACTAACAATATTTTAAACTTCCATACGAAATTAGTTCTATTTATGTGACTCCTCATTGAAACACTTATATTCTGTATCACATAGCAACGTCTTTTATTCAATTCCACCATGTTAAATAAATCTAAATTTTAATTGAGCAAGTTTATTTGGTGTCAAATATTATATGTTCATCTTCTATTTATGGTCAAATATGTTGGTCTTATCTCACGTTCTTTTCATTATATCTACTAACCTTTGTTGACACTAATTTACGTGCACCAGCACAAATATGAAACAAGTGTAGCATTGACTCTGGTTGGTTTCATGCTCACATGTACAAAATAATAAATGTATTACTTAATTAAATTATACAATTAAAATTAATCTAATTATTTTAAATGAAAATAACTTTCTACTTTGATTATTTTAATATTTTTCATTTATTTAGTCATGTAAGCATGAAACTAATCATAGTTAATGGTAGGGATTTAAAAAGAACACCAAGAAAATGCCACAGACACTAATATTATACTTTTTAATTCACTAATTTAATTTTAACATTACACTTTTTAAAAAATTATAATTTGTTTAGAAACTTATAATTTAATTTTAATATATTTTCCATCTTTAGAAACAAAATCATTATTTCTGATACATTATTTTTTGAATTTATAAAAACTAAAAATACAAGTTTCAAATTCGAGAGACAAAAAAAATATATTCCTCAAACTTAAGAGCATAAAAACATATTTAAGTCTATAATATTTTAAAAAAATTACAATGTTAAAAGTAAATAAATTAAAATGTAAGATTAATATTAAAAGCAATAAAGATCATTTTTAATAATATATTAAAATTTTAAAATACAAAAGAAAATTATATATGATTATCTTATTTATATAAAATAATAAATACATTAAATAATTGTATTGAACACCTAAAGATTATTTAATTATCCTATTTAAAAAATTTCTTTGTTACCTTAGTTGTCTTAATATTTTTCATTTTGTTAACAATGTGAACACTAAATTAACTAAAGTTAATGATAGGGACTAAAATAAATTAAGAAAATGAAAAGGATCTAAAACTTACGATTTTTTTTCAAGACTAAAATAAGACAGTTATATTTACATGAACTTAAAAACATATTTAATTCTATAAAGTCACATAAGATCATGTTTTATCAAACAATGAGTATAAGATAATGTTTTATCAAACAATGAGTATATCTGCACCGGTATAATGTTTCTTTTTCTCTCCTATTTTCCAAAATTATACTCTTTGTTCTCTTTCATTCGATGTGAATTTTTGAAGTGCGTTATTAATATAAAATTAATATTAATATCTCATTAATGTAAAATTAATATTAATTTCTTAATCCAATAGATATTTTTCTACATGTAATTCACGCCATTTCTAATTTTCATATTTCATCAAAAGTAAAATATTAAAATATTTGTATATAAAACACAGGCGCTGTTATACTTTAATAGGCTAAAAGATTAAATTAAAGCAGCAAATTTGCATTGCATCAATAATTTATAAATGGTAATTTTTACTTAATACTTCAATTTTTTTAATCAATAACCTTGTAAACTTTTTCCCCTCTCCTTATAATTACTTATTTTGATTTTAGGATATTTTGGGATTATTATTACTGTCCTTGACGAAGGCCATTTTTAAGAATATACGAAACTAATTATCTAAATGATAAAATAAGATGTTATATTTGTATAAATTAAACATCGGTGTCAATTAAAGTCAACCGCATCAATATCATTTTTTATTAAAAGCAAAGTACCAGAGCTGAAAGAAAGGACTAAGAACTAAAAAATAAGTTAAAAGAACTAAATTGGTCTGAAAAATAAAAGAAAATACTAAATTAAAATTTTAAACAAAAGAATTCTTACACTATAGTCATAAAATCGTGATTTGTGATTAGTTGAAAATATAAAACATTTTTCTACTCAGTATATAACCATTAACCTCTTTTAAACATCCTCAAGTAAGGAAAATTATAATCAAGCCTAAGTACTTGAGGAACAATACTGCATAATGATCAAACAAGTGGGGAGAATTGTCATCAATCCCATCATTGGGACCATAATATAACCATAAGAACATTGAAGTTTTCTTTATATTGTTATTCTATATTAGAAAAGAAAAAACCACAAGGGAAGCATGCCATTTCTAAACTTCCAACATCACTGAGCTAATTTAGCCATACTTCTTAAGTTAGTCAACATCTCAGCTGCAGCTGATTCTCTAGCTTCAAGAGGATTTGAACCCATGTTACCCTCAAATGAACACTGAAAGTCCACTCCTTTAACGGTTACATTGGCTTTAAATCCACCTTCAAAAGAAACACTCGTTAGATTTGATTTGTCAGATCAGGCTGCATAATATTTTTTCAACATAGACATATCATAAATAACTACCGGCCATTACTGAGGTGAACAAAAAGTGCAATGAATATATCTCGATGATATCTTAATTATATCTAATTAAATTTAATTTAAAAGTGCATAACTTGATTCATTTGGATAGTTGATGCCACTCATGCATTTTGACTAAATTAGATAGTCTTACTAACCATCTGAATGTGATAGATGATAAGTTGGTAGGACCCAATTGTTTGCGCGACATACATCGTCTAGTTCCTGCAAGATTAACAAAGTTCTAATGAGTCACGTTCTGAGTGTGTTAGAGAGAGGGTTGCTGGCACTCCTCTTTGGACATATGTTCAGAGATTTGCATGGATAAATAACCTCTGTCAATAATAGGCTTTTGGTGAGTAGCAAACATGTGTACAATTGTAAAGATGAAACCAAGCATATGCTAAGTGGCATTGTTCGAATCAACTACAATTTACACACCCAACCTTAACACTTTTTAAATCAGTTCATTCTAGTTTCAGTATTCGTGTCTGCCAGAAACAATGCTTTAAAGAAATCAGTCACAACCACTTCATCCTTTGTGCACGTTACTAAATAGAATAATAAAGCATATCATATAAGTGGCATAACAATTTCTCCTCTTTTACTCATATCCCTGAAATGACTTAGTGATCATATTGATGCATCAATTTTACAAACACAATTCACAGACCTATTAATGAGGATAAAGAACCCAATAACACTACTTTCAGGTTTAGTGTAGTCATAGAAAATTCAAATGCATAAACTAATTAAATAGAATATGGCTTGCCTGGCATGGACTTTGCATGGTAATGACAGCCTCTGACAATTTTTTTCTCTTAAGAGGTAAGCTTTGTTGTTCACATGTCCTTTCTTGATTCCTTATCCATGTATCATTGCAGCCTTCTATAATTGATTCAATCATTAATTTAAAGTCATCTTCCCCATCTACATTTGTCCAAAAGTCACAAAAGTAACATCATGATCAAGGGTTGTTCACAGTTCGTCATTAAGCCCAAAATGAAAGAGACATGTAAATGTTTGGCCCAAAAGAAAATTTCAGAAAAAGAAAAAACTGACGCTGTCCCAAAAAGTGAAACATTGAATGGGAGCCCTAAAATTTGCTGCACATAAACATCGCCGCTCCCATCGATTCCACACTTCTGCACAACAATTCTGCATTCCTACTTCCGAGCAGTTCTGTGTGTGGATGAACACACAAAGGAGGCTTGAAATGTAGAATTGTACAATTTTACGTGTAGGGATGAGCTTTTGGCT